TCTCGAGCATTGCATCCCCAGTATTCCACAACGCCTTTGCCCGTTGGGCCGAGCGCACCTGGAACAATAATCTGCACTGAGAGCCTGGGGTTCTCTGACTGTTTCAGTTCAAACAGGTCTTACGAGTATTAGGCAAACAGCATACCAACGCTATGGGCTTCATCTAAGAACAAANATTTTCGTTCAGAGTGCAAATTTGTCCAATACATTGTTTTGAAAATTGTAACCATAATAAAATAACCATTAGCGAATGTTGCGGAGAAGCCAGGGTCTACATAAATTGAAAGCTTAGTTATGACTGATAAACGGGTGTGATACCACAAGGAATGATATAATTTTTTACAAAATTTCCGTTACTGCACGAATTGTTAGAAAAGACAAGGAGACTTCTCTAACAAGATTCTGAGCAGAACAAGTTGTTACGGCAACGTGCTGCTGTAATGCTCTTCCGATTGAATGCAAGCTATGGTGTTTCAAAATTTTCAAGAAAAAAAAAAGAATGTTCTGTCAGAAACTCTGCCAACACGTTGTGAAGAAGTCACGAACCTTCATACTGCTCAAAACTTGAGCAATAATGGGAGGCGACATTGGAGCTCCGTAACAGGGACCAGCAGAATGACGACGAATGTGTTCAACTACAGCCTGAAATGTCGTCCTAGAAGTAAACCACAGAACTATAAAGGAAAACTGGGACAAACATTAACCTTCGTCCCACCCATGTATCCACCAGCTGCTGCAAAACTCTTAGTTAACGTGCCCATCATTATGTCGACATCTCGAGCATTGCATCCCCAGTATTCCACAACGCCTTTACCCGTTGGACCGAGAGCACCTGGAACAATCACCTGCACTGAGAGCCTGGAGTTCCCTTACTGTTTCAGTTCAAACAGGTCTTACGAATATTAAGCATACAGCATACCAACGCTATGGGCTTCATCTAAGAACAAATATGCTCCATATTTCTTTTTTATGCGAATGAACTCTGGTAAATTCACGATCGTACCTTCCATGCTGCAATCAGAAGTCTTATACATATCGAAATCACCATTTTGGTTCAAGCTTATCATGACGAACAAAATATTATTGAAACATTCCCTCTCTCCCCAACTACTACAAAACTCAAAAATGAACTCAATAGTTCAAATAAGGTAAGGTCTATCATTTACCTGTATATTCCTTCTATCACAATTAGCACTTTATTAAATGGTTTTCCAGTCTTTGGGCTCGGATGACACAAAGCATCGCGTAGTTTTTTCTCGCAATCCTTTGCATCTGAAGCAGAACAAACTGAAGAACTGCAAGAGTGAGGATGTCGTGCAGTAGTATCGGTCGGAGTTGACCTATTCGGTGAAACCCTGATTAATGAGGTATAAGAGTGTGAGGAACCTAGTAATGCCATTTAGAAGCGACTGTGTGTAAGATTTACGTCCTTCTACTGTAACTTAAAATGCCTTTATTTATCAATCCCTGTTTGATGCTTTCTCATACTGAAGCTATTTATTCAGTTCTGAGAGATGCTATCGCTTCTAATCCAACATCTGCAGATGGCTATAGAAGGGTGCACATATTGACCTTCAGTGAATCAGAAAATTTTGATCTTTTTTCAAAAAGGCTGTTATGACCCACTGAGAAAGACTGAATTACACTGAGGTCATTGACACTGGACGATCTCCCCAGAATGACTTTGTCAGAGGGTATCCTTTCCAGAAATGAAAAAAAAGTGTGAAAAATCTTCCTTACTGTTATGCTTGAAAACTTTCACAGTTGCACCGGAAACTCGGCAGCCCAAAACCAAAGAGGCGTGGTTTAACTCGTCACTGAGTATCAAGGACCTCTGAACAGATCTCATACTGACTGCATCAAAAAACGCAATGAGCCTATCGAACCTTGTCCACGAGTGAAGGTATGTTCATGGAATTCGTACCGAATCCCATTGGAAAGCATATCGCGGCTTCGACCCCGAGATAACGAGCCACGCACTTTTCTATTTCAGCTTGAACCACGTGGTTTCCTGCAATATGGGCTTTATAGTCGAAACTAACAGGTTTTTGAGATCATAAAGTAAGCCATTATACTTGTCACAATTACCTCGTTCATGTCTTGTACTACCAATGTGAAGGCCATATTTGTCAATGTATCGCGCAGCTTCTTCAGCGCAGGGACCGTCATTGTGAGAAAAGCCGAGATAGTTATAAGAACCCATGTTAATTACTTTTGAGATCGTGCCCGTATATCTGAAAAATTGAAGTAAAAAAAGAATCTGTACGAAGCAGGTTGACAGTTCAACCACAACCCCTTCTAAACTCCACCCTTTCTGCTGTTGGAAGCTGTACTGTTGTGCTACGGAGTCAAGTATACCACAGATCATATGGATCATTACAAAACCATTCAACTAGATTAGATACATAGATAGGTGGGCGAGGTCCAAAAGAACCAATATCAAGAATTTTGACCAAATTTGCAGAATTAAATCATCATCAAAATCTTAGTGACTTCTGAGTGAAAGCCGAATGCAGTAACTCATCACGAAAATTGATTGAGTTCAAAAAAAAATCAAGCAGTAAAAAGTAGTGAAAATAGTAGTGACAGGAAGCTAAATTCCTACAGTCTACTTCCACTTTAGGCTTATAATTTCTATTAAGGGTCGAAATTTCGCTCACAATTCTTTTTCTATTTACCATCGGAGAAAGATCAGAGTGGAGAAAAAAGGACAACAAAACAGGATGAAACGAGATATTTCTTTGTTTATTATTATCACCCATATCCTATCATATATTAATAACCTATCAAATGTCACTGAACCTCCTTCCTTGGCTTCGAACAGTGACAATCACATAGAAAAGGTCGCAACTTGTGTAATGAAATAGGATGAGTAATAGTTGTAATGAACTCGATCCAGTAAACTATGTGAAATATGTGCACATAAACATAGTACACGATAAGTTTTGCTGAAGGTGGGTGCGGAAGCACTCAAGCAGTAATGGGTGACATAGGGGCGAGAATGTTTAAAGATACTCACTTTTGCGTCCATCCATAGTCATCCGTATACCTATCTTTCAACAACATTACGCTAGCTGGAACGCTAGCAATCGGCCGATTGACCACATCACTCGATTTCCGGTAAATATGATTAATGTAGACGGCTTCAAAATGATGGTCCAATGGTGCGAAACCCTAAACGAACTGGTTATGGAAACATAACAAGAACCATGCAGTATTATTCATTAACTTGCAAGACAGTGTTTGAGAGTTTGAGCCCAAAGGAAATAAACGTGAGCATGCCTTGCAAAATGTGCTGCAGGAATTCGACTACAACACGCGACTCTTGCGCCACAATCCACATTAGTGCACTTGCTCGTATAGTGCCATGCATTTCTTGCATTCCAAGGGAACGATAAAAATTGTGGCAAAGAGGAATTGCTATCGAATGATACGATCACATACGGCATCATAAATAGACAGAATAGAAACCAAAAGGGCCTCTGGACCCGCGCTCACAAACTGGTTCCGCTATTTGTATGTTGGGTGCACTTACTTCGACAGATTACAAACAAAATTGTTAGCAGAGGCGACCAGAGGAAGTTCATTCCTTCCACCGCCTGCATATCGAGCAAGGGAAAATAGCGCTCGCCTTGAACGCTGCCGTACTTCCGCATCCTTCTCTAAGAACCCACAAAAAACCAAACAGGGAAAAAATAAGGTGACGTATCGAAACCAAAGAAAACCACCTTATGCCTGGGATCGTCCGTCGCCACAGACACCTTTATAAAACCTCTCATTCGTAGCCAATCAGCAAAAACACCGGCAAGAAACATCAATGTACATGACAGCTTCACCATTATCGAAATATACCAAGGTGGATCTGCTATTATAGAATCTTCTAAGCTCCACGCACCTCTTTTCCATGATAGTCTGGAATATGCAATTCAGTGAAAATCGTTAGAAAGGGAGCTTCAAAAACTTGACAACATGACTCACGTTTCCGAATTCAGACTAGAAGAAGAACTGCTGGGCTTGCTCAGCTCACTTATGGACGGTTCAGAGCTCACAGGCTCTTCTAACCTACAATTGCTTTCGTCCAATACTTCAACAAAGCTGTCACAACTACTCGAGCTTTCTGTAGACATGGCCTCTTTGCGAAGCAACCCTGAAAGCCATTTATTCAGCCCGGAACGTCTACAAAACACAAATCATCGGCGATTGACAAGAGGAAAAAGAAGCATTGCTTATCGGGAAACGAGCAAGATTTAGGTCAAAAAAGGTTCAAAATGTGCACAAATAAAATTCTGGCATCGAACGATGAGAAGGAATAGTGCAAAGGACAGCGTCAGGATTTCATATTATATTACCTCAATCACACTCAGGTCTGCCGGTTGGATTGCGGAAACCTTCCATCCCTGAACGTCTCAACCCAAGGTATTTCAGAATGATTTCAATGATTAACGTTTGTTAAAATATCCGTTCACAGCGATAATCAAATAAGAAGAGAAGGAAAGCCTAGTCTATGTATGTTTAGGTGATCTTTGCGACGTCGCACCCACATTGAATGAGAATGAAATGCAAGAATGCAGTCATTAGGTGAGCGTCCACGCTTCTCTTTTTTTTCGTGAAACATCCATCGATGATTGGAGAAAAAACCGAAAACCAGGCTCGCGGGAACGGAACGGAAATGTTTTTCGCAGATGTTATGTAGATACATTGAAAGCACTGACTGTTCTTCAACGAAAGTGTCCGAGGCTACCGTGGTGATAGTCCGGACTTCCTAGGGATTCGTACTTTTACGAAGTTATACAGGTATGCAGAGAAAATAGCAATAAAGGAAGCAGAAGTAGGCAATAAAACGAGAAAGGGAAGACAACTGGAAGGCAAATTATGAAAAGAACAAAGTACAACAAACAACAAGAATGGTAAAAGAAGAACAAACATCATACGGAACAGAGATCATCGGGAACGATTCTCGGGATTCCATAAAGAAACGCGGGAAACCCAAATATAAACTGAAAACACCCGGTCTAACCACAACAACGGGTTAGTCGCCGAATGCCGTTGCAAATGTTGGAATGAAAAACCTGGGATGCAGGATGTCCCCAATACGATATTCCGACGCTATCTGAAAGAGGATAAGAAAATAGAATTACTTCATAGGTACTAAACTAGGATAACAGCCAGAACCGAGGAATATCACGATGCCACGAAATAGAATGTGACTCATTGTCAAAACAAAAAGCAAGCCATAAATGTGAATAACCGCCAACGTCACCCGACAATGAATCAATAGAGTTCAGCCAAGCATTCAGTTTAAAACCCCTACAAAAACGAAAAATCATATATTAAAAGAAAGGGATGGTTCTACTGCATACAGTCAATATCCTAAAGAAGAGCTTATCCGATTATAGCATGGCTTGCAGAGGGTAAAAGTTCTGAAAAAAGGAAAAGGAGCACTTTTGGGAAGAATCCTCCCTATCAGTTATTGATATGGAACAAGGGAACGTCACATAATAGGAATGAACGAAACAGCAAAAAGTCCAGACGAGTTCAAAGTACATACACTCCGCCGAAGATAGTGGAGACGCCTAAACAAACAACAGAGTTTTCGATAACTTTTTAAAAAAATTGACGAATTAAAAGTTAATTTGCTCAAAGATACTATTTTCACATCATCCAGACAAGATTGCATTGGAATTCTACGGTCTACAACCTTGGGGTATAAATTGAAACAATTGGCACTATCTAATCAAAGCATACGGTGTTGCTAGCACGGATTCTGCGGTGATGTATGGTGGGGCCACCGTGTTTTTCATGACTGATAAGAGCGAGATGCCACCGAAGAAGGCATTAGGAAAACTGGTCAGATTTCCGCTGTAGAGTGATTATCGGGAGAATCGAAACCCTTCCGCTTGGCTCCAAAACACGATGGATTTGAACACATGATTTCAAACTAGATTAGTTCCCGCTTTCAGGGCACAGTTTAGGATGTAAAACGATTATTGAGATATCCCCCTATGATGGATCTGTGACCTCATCGTAAACCATAAGTGGCACTGTCAATTGGAAAACGGCCTAGATAAGATATGATGAGTGTTCAAAGAGGGGTGTGGTATCTCCTCCAAGAACGGTCTGTCGCGCTCGCCGCGCGCAATTGCGCGTTGCGAAGAGAAAGATACTAGAAGGATACGGAACTACTGCCGCGAGAAGTTCCGTCACCCTTCCAAGAGTACATCGGCTGTATACCACATCCAAAGGCGGACGAGTTTTACCGGAGTTATAGAGGCTGCATCGCGCCGTTCAACTCGTTGGCATCTTTCATAGTCCACGACCGGTCGC